AAATTGACATAAATCAGTTGGAAAGCAAATTACAATTTTTAATTAAACAAAATAACTTTAAAGTATGTAGAATTTCATTTCATTTAATCAAATAATATGTCTTACATATAAAAATGGGTTTGCTTTTGGAGAAGCATTTTAAACATGGAATGTTAAGATCTATTCAGTCAGACACTCTCTCCAAATAGCGTTGGATCTTGGACTGTGCTGGTATTACGTTCCTTTCCTCCCCTCTGAGTGTCTTTTGGTTGTTGCTATTTTATTCACCTTTGCTTTTGTTTGAGGCAGGTAGCCTAGACTGGCCTCGTGATATGACTGAAGATGACTTTGGCTTTCAATTCCTCTTGCTTCCATCTTTTTTATATATTTCATTTCATTTATTTTGGGGGGTAAATTTCATGCATAAGTACATACTTGCATTATTTCCACCCCTCCCTGTCCCTAATGCTTCTGCCTCTTAATTTCGGTGATTATAACTGGGTACAACCACCTCAAAGATTCTCCCTCCTGAGTGGGATCCTCCTTGTCTCCCATGTGGACATCATTTTTGTCCTCCTATAGATGTTCTCAGCTGAGGGAAGATAAGAAACCAAACTAAGAACAGAATCCTGAGGTGCAGAAACTCCTGAGTCAGGCCAGGTTTGAATGTCAGGTGTCTAAACCTACTTCTGATACTTAACCTTCCTGAGAATTCTCTCATTTGTAAAAAGGGTATTTTGCAAGAGGATAGAACAAAACCTGGAATACATACCTACTTATAAAGTACATTATTGTGTCTGTCATTATGTTACCTATTTGCATCTGAAAGACAGTTACACACCTACATAGAGTGCCATCAGGATCTCTCCATGCTAAGTCATGGAAACAGAATGAAAGATCAGTGTTCTGTACATCTGTATTGAACCAATGTGTAGATGTGGTCCATGGGAAGGATGATATCATTGCAATAGATTGAGTTTTATGATATTAATATCAACAATTCAACTAAAACTTTTATAAAATGTTCAAATTATTAATTTTCAGTCATAAACAATAAATGCATATCTCTAAAATATAAACAAGGCCATGTGAACTAATACCTATCCCACTCAGCTTCAAGGAGGGAAAAATAATGTTTCCTAAGAATATCTCTTTATATTCACCTCATCTTCCCACTCCAAGTGGGATAATCATTTAAAGATTCAACCAGAGTTTTCATTTTAACAATATAATTGCTTTTCACTATATTAAAATAAATATCAAGGAAAGGTTGATTATGTTCTTTTTGATTTGCTTGCATGTAGAAATCCTGAAGACTCATGGCTCAGATAAACTGCACACAGGTAAAAGAGTTCATTCTGGCAGGCCTCACTGATCATCAGGAGCTGAAGTTGCCTCTCTTTGTGGTATTTTTATCCATCTATCTTTTCACAACAGTAGGTAACCTGGGCTTGATCCTGGTGATTAGAACAGATGTAAGACTCAACACTCCCATGTACTTCTTCCTCAGCAATCTGGCTTTTGTTGATTTTTGCTACTCTTCTGTCATTACACCTAAGATGCTTGGAAATTTCTTGTACAAACAAAACAGTATATCCTTTAATGCATGTGCCGCTCAGTTAGGCTGCTTCCTGGCTTTCATGACAGCCGAGTGTCTGCTATTAGCTTCTATGGCCTATGACAGATATGTGGCCATTTGCAACCCTCTACTCTATATGATCCTAATGTCTCCAGGAATCTGCATTCGGCTTGTAGCTGCCCCGTATAGCTATAGCTTCCTGGTTGCATTATTTCATGCCGTCCTCACCTTCCGCCTCTGCTATTGTCGCTCCAACCTCATCAATCACTTCTACTGTGACGACATGCCTCTCCTCAGGCTGACTTGCTCAGACACTCACTCCAAGCAGCTGTGGATTTTTGCCTGTGCTGGAATCATGTTCATTTCCTCTCTTCTGATTGTCTTTATCTCCTACACATTCATTCTCTCTGCCATCCTGAGGATGCGTTCAGCTGAGGGAAGGCGCAAGGCGTTCTCTACATGTGGTTCCCACATGCTGGCAGTGACCATTTTCTATGGGACCCTCATCTTCATGTACTTGCAGCCCAGCTCTAACCATTCTCTGGACACAGACAAAATGGCCTCTGTCTTCTACACAGTGATCATCCCCATGTTGAATCCCTTGATTTACAGCCTCAGGAACAAAGAAGTAAAGGATGCCATGAAGAAATTCATCACCGGTCAAAGCCAGGCTTTTATGTTCATGAAATTAAGAAAATGACTTGACTAAGTAGTAATGGATTTTGTTTTCCAACTTTTTCCTGTCATGCCTATTAACATATGACATAAAGCAGGCTATCTCTCCTATATAGAGAAATTGTGCAAATATGACATGATATCAGATGGAAAAGTAACTGTAACAATTTAGAATCACTTCTTTCATTTTTGAAATTGACTATGCACAACAAAAATTGTCTGGCCAATAATAAATTATAACATTTTCTCATTTTGAAAATGAAAAGAAATACATTTAAAATGTCTATTAAGATGTTTGTGGGCTGAGTCCTATCCAAGGACCCACACTCTGCAGACTCTTATTCTCTATACCTTGGCCATTTGTGGTCTTCTGTGTTCATTGCCCACTGTTGCATGAGGGAGATTCATTCATGAGAGTTGAGAGATGTGCATGATTATTCTCTATACCCCAAGTTCCACTATGTTCTGTGAGCCTTAGGTGTAGAGGTTCCATTGTAGGTGTGTCACTTAGGACTGAGCATTTTACAGACCCTTCATCTCTGTGTGTGACCAGTCGAGTTGTGGAACTCTGTAATAATCCCTGTCTGTTGCAAAAGAAGATTCTTAGATGAGTAGTGAATGGCATACTTTTCTGCAAATATAAAAATCCATATTTAGCACACAGTAAGAAATTTCATTTGTCTAGGGATGTGACAGCCCTGGGGTTTTCTCTAGGATCTATGACCTGTCTAGCCACATGTATTTCACCATTGTGGAAGAAGAGGCAGAAAGCCTGGAAGAGCCAGGATAGGAGGTACATGACCATATGGAAATAAAGTCTTACAGGCTGTGGGGACCTTGTTCATATGAACTTACAGCAATGGTGACAGCATACTCAAGACCCCTGCAAATGTAAGTGGACAAAAAAACCAGCACAGAACTGTGAAATTAGGCAGCAGGCCCCAATCTTAGCCAAAGAACTATTGGCCAGCTGATTACTACTGTGTGAGGAAGAGCTGAAATTCTTTAAGGGAGCAGCTTTAGATAGTTTGACAAGACTCCAGTGGATGAACTTGTACCGAGGGATGTTTGAGGACATTAATTTAACTCAATAGGACTTAATAAATGGCATAATGCATGAAATCCAGTGGTGGGGGGCTATGATAGGGTGCCAATGAGGAAGGGGGCATAAAGATGATTAAGATGTTGTATATGAAATACACATTAATTTAATAAAATTATACAAAAAATATGACTGGGGAATCGCTTAGTGGTTAAGAGTACTAGCTGCTCTTGCAGAGGACCTGAATTTAGTCCCCAGCTCCTACATGGCAGCTAACAATTGTGTGTAAATCCAACTCTAGGGGATCTAGCAGATTCAGTGCCTTTCTGGCCTTTATGTTTATCACATGCATACATTGCTCATACAGGCAAAACACTCATACCCATAAAATAAACATAAATAAATTATTTTTAAAGGTGTGTGGTTATAGACAGAAGATAGAAAAATGTTCAAATGAGTGACTTCCCACCCACTTCAAGTTTCTAAGTCTATACCAACAATATTTTAAATGAAAGGTAAAGATGCTTCATCTAAACAGTTTATTTTATTCTAATTTTTTGGAAAAATACATGAATCTCAAAAACTGTGTTAACTTTATAGAGATAACAAATTGTTTCATTAAAGTAAATAGTACTACATTTTAATTTCATTCATGTCAAGGATTAAACATAATCTACTCTTCTAGAAGTTTGTTTGGTTTTATAAAAGCCATTTTTATGTATATCTTTATTGAATTTTTGTGTATTTAGTACAATACATTTTAATCATATTTAAACTCCCTCCCCTATCTATACCCCTCAGCCTGCCCACATTATTTCATGCTTTAAACTCATTCCATTTTCCTTTGCACTGAAAATTCCCATGGATTGGGGCATGGGGGGTGGAGAGAGAAAGAGAGTGAGACAGAGAGAAAAAACTTACTAACTTACTTCTACAGTATGCAGCAGTAAACAAACTTGCCCTCTACAAAATGACTACTGCCAATAACATTTCTGTGGAAATAGCTTTCTATTAGGCTCATTTCATTTCTTTTTATTTCCTTCCTTTGTATGCATAAGATGTAAATCTGGACTATAAGAACCATGAAGATCTTGGTCATGTCACTGTAACCTTTAGCACAAACTCAAGTCCAGTTTCACTAAGTGATGGTGTATTGCTGAACATGTCCAGTTGTGTGGTTCAGAAAATGCCTAGCTCAAAAGAGGCAGCTTAGCACATGAGGATGTGGTACTGCATGACTAAGTTTTCTAACACTCCAAGGGCCTAATAACCAGCTAGAAACTTTGCTCTCAAAAGACAAATAATTGTCTACTAAAAAAAAATCTTTATCCTCAGAAATCATAATTGCATCTACTGTGGGTCCCTTCAGGGTTTTAACAAAGCTTCATAAGCCCTCCTATCTTCTACAAAGTCTCATTTTTTACTAAATTATCATGAAATACAGACTCTGCAGGGCAGAGTGGTCCACCTAGCAGCAAGCACTGGATGCCAAGCATTTGTTGTTGTTGTTGTTGTTGTTGTTGATTTTCCTGTAACTCCGAATCCCAACTTAATCAGGTATCATTTAAAATTGCTTAACAGATAAGTAAAAACTGAACAGAATTATCAGATGTAAGTAGCCACAAAAATCAAATGCCCTAACTTTTTCTTCACTTTTAAAGATAATCTCAATATGCCTCATAAAATTCAATCATGAGAAATTTCAAAGGCTGAGACATATGAATATTTAGGAATTTTTAAACTGAACTTGACATTTATATATTTTATTATCAACAACATTAGAATTTCATCCTATTTCAGTCCAATCATATATTAATATGAGGTATGCTAATGTTATTTATCACTATGCCATATGATTTATTTGCAAGAATTTGTAAGATTTAAACTTAAGAAAGTAAATGGGCTCTGGACTTCAGGAATAAAATTTGATGTCAATCATCTATGACTATTCTAGTAATAAGCCGTTAGATATGCTTTAAGTTAATAAGAATTATATAATGAAGGAAATGTTCTTTATTTGGAGGCTAAACTGTTACGATGAATGTGTGTTGATACTGAATTGACAGAACTGCTTGCTGTAATTGGGGTCATCAGGAAATCACGAAATAATGAACAATGATTTGTTTGATTCCTTTCTGACACAGTTCTAAGTCAAACCTTGTCACTGAGGGAATGTGTCAAATGAAAGATTCAAAACTCAGAGACTATTTTCACAGCATGTGAGAGACAGATACCTAAAGGGCTAACAGTCATGGACGACTGTTTCAACAGATCTCTGAAACCTGTCCATCTGTGAACACAGTCAACTCCTTAAACTTTCCATAATCAAACAATTGTCTCCACATCTCTCCACCAAACTTGTGTTGTATCACCATCTCTAATGGCACAGCTTCTAACTTCTTGATCTTTACTTTTCTGTTCCTTGCAGACTTACTGAGAATTTTAAGAGAAATATAAATTCTTTAATTCTATACTTTAAATGGTCTGGTTTTTCTGAGTGAAGTGAGAAAGAGACAATAGCTAATATCCGAACAGAATCCATCAAGGGATTTTTAATATTCCAAACAACAACATGTCTGTCATCTGTCTGTCTCTCATCTCCATGCCATTTATCTATCTATCATCTATCTATCTATCTATCTATCTATCTATCTATCGATCTATCTATCATCTATCTATCTATCTATCTATCGATCTATCTATCATCTATCTCTCTATCTATTATCTATCATCTATCTATCATCTACCTATCATCTATCTTTGTCTTTCTGTCTAGGCATCTATTTATCTATTAACCATCTATCAACTGATCGATCCATTTATCATCTACATATATACCATTATATGAACAATATAGAACTAGTTTTTATAAGAAACACTGAAGCTTCCTTCCCATAAACAGGTGTAGAATACCACAGAGCAGGGAAAATCATCTGTACATTACATTGAATTGGAATATCAAACATTGACCAGTTTAAGAGATAGAAGAAAAAGGTTGGAGATGTTGGGATAGTTTAGTAATTTCCACACTAAAAGCTCTCAAGAAATCGTAGAGCGTGTGGATGACCATGCTAGAAATGCTTAGAGACAGTGGAAGGAAGAGGTTTTCTGTGAAGCATCCAAAGATGCAAAGGAAGTAATTGTTGCATTTATTAAAGCAAATAGTAGTGGTAGTTCTAAGAACTAGTTTGGGCTTCCATGGAAAATTATTAAGGATATTAATAAAAGCCAATAAAGAATTAAAGTGACAGCTACACCTTTTCTCAGTGGAAGCAAATGATTTCATTTATACAAATTTGTGCTTATAAGCTGACTATACTAAACAGTATATTGGTTGGTTGATGGATAGTTCTGTAGAAAACAGCGAGTACAAAACCAAGATTGCAAGTGTCTCTCTCCAGTGTGGAAAGTATTATAACTAGCGATACTAGTGTATGTTCTTTTTTTTTTTTTAATCTGGAGAGGGATATATGATTGTTATCAGAACTGTTCTTTAAATATAAAATACATATTGTTTATGTTTGTGCTTTGCCCTGAAAAGCTCCTAGGGCATGAGACAATAATATTCTCTGTGATTGCTATATAAGCCTCTCTACCTGTTGGATCTTACATGAGCAGAATCAACAAAGTGTCAAGTGCTGTTAGTTTCCCAAATTTCAGGCACAAGCTCTTAGCATATCCCAGTAAAAAGTGCTGCTGTTTAGAGTTTTAATATAGTGCCATACTCTTACAAAACTCCTCAGATGTTGTCTTGGGTCATATTTTTTCTATGGTATCCAAATTTTGAAACACAACAACATCAGGCCTCTATAGAAAGCATACACTTTCTTAAGTTATGGTCAGAGGCTGTGGATCATGTTAGGATTTCTGGCATGCACATCTTCATAGATATACGTTGTTCCAAGCATCATGGCTTCCATGCCGATTAATGAACATGCTATCTGCTTTGTCAATCTAGAGAGCTGAGGTGAAGTTTAAGATGAGCCTGGGGGAAATTAAAATGGCATCTGCTCTGCTCTGCCTAAAGGAAGACTTTTAATCTTTTATCTTTCAACTAACCAGAAAGCAATTTGGAAGGATGAGTGTCCAGAACATTGATTTTATTTGCTCCTTCTGCTTCTTAATGCTTGATGTCACAGAACAAGGTGAGATTTCTGAATTATCTAAAACACATGTGTCTATAACAGGAGAACTGCATGTACATGCATATGTCCATGGATATGTGCTTATGAAAATTTCAAAACAGTATTAATATTTTCTTTTCTCTTTAAATCATATATACCACATATGGAAAATGGAAATTCAGAGCATTTAGATACTAAAAAGAGAAAATTCTATAAATTCCCCAAATTGGATCCCCTAGAGAGATATGTGGCAATATCTTGGTTTATGATCTTTCATATTGTCATTTCTTAATAGTAGATAAATGTTTTTTGTTTATTTGTTTGTTTGTTTTTGTTTGTTTGTTTGTTTTTTTGGTCTTTTTGAAACAGGATTTCCCTGTGGCCCCAGCTGCCCTGGAACTCACTATGTAGACCAGGCTGGGCTTGAACTCACAGAGATCTGCCTGGCTCTGCCTCCCAAATGCTGGGACTACAGGCATGCGCCACCATGCCCAGCTGTTTTTGTTTTATAATATTTTATTATTTTTTATTTTATGTGTATGAGTGTCTTGCCTGCATATATGTAAGTGCACCTCTGGTGTGCAATGCCCGTAGAGGACAGAAGAGAGCGTCAGATTCTCCTAGAACTAAAGTTATACACAGTTGTTAGCTGCCATGTGGATGCTGGGAATTGAGCTCATCGCCTCTGTAGGGGCAACCAGTGCTCTTAACCACTGATTCATCTCTCCAGTCCCAAATAGTAAATCGTTTTATCAAAGACTTAGTTTATATGTTCCAGGTATTACTTACAAGTTATACGGACTAATCTTAAAACAAAGCATGGTATTCACATATTTATTTTTCAAGTTATAATGCACATGTTTGTTTTATATTTTATGTTATGTTTAATACAAGTTTATTTAGTTTTTTCAAGTAATGAACTTTAAAAGTTTTATTTTATTTTATGTCTGTTTTGCCTTCATGTATGTAAGTCTAGCCATGTAGAGAAATGGTCACAGAGACCAGAAGAAGGCATCAGATCCACTGGAACTGGAGTTACAGATGGTTAGCTACTATGTAGATACTGGAAAACAAATCAGGGTCCTCTGTAAGAGTAGCCAATGCTCTTAACTTCTAAGCCATCTCTCCAGACCCAGTAATGACGTTTTCAATGAAGTCACCTACTTACTCTTTGCTTCCTGATGAATTTTCTTCCTTAGACTTCCTACTTAGACTATGACACAATTGCTATGTAGGTTAAAATCCTGCATACAGTACACAAACCAGAGTTCTCTTGAGTAAAGGTAAAATGCTTCATTCCTCTCTTCTAATATAAACTTGGATCAATTCCTACAGAATCAAGATCACACAGAAGATGAGGTCTGAAGGGAATGATTATACAAGCTTCTATATCTCTTGAATGGCCAGAAGCAACCATTCAGCAGTAGCCGAGTTCATCCTCTTGGGGTTGACAGAAGATCCAAGGCTTCAGGTCACTCTTTTTGTCATCCTTTTAATCATCTACTTGTTTAGTGTCATGAGTAACCTCGGGTTGGTTTTGTTAATCCAAATCAGTCCTCAGCTTCAGTCCCCCATGTATTTTTTCCTCAGCCATCTGGCTTTTGTTGATTTCTGTTACACCTCCTGTGTCACCCCAAATGCTCTGGTAAATTTTTTGCGTGAGATTAAAAGCATATCATTCTATGGATGTGCAGCTCAAGTGTGTTTCTTCACGATGTTTTCCGTATGTGAAGTTTTCCTGCTATCTGTAATGGCCTATGACAGGTACGTGGCCATCTGCAACCCTTTGCTCTATGTAATTCTCATGCCAAGGAAACTCTGCTTTCAGATAGCCACTACCACATACTTTTATGCGTTTGTCACTGCACTCATTCAGACAGTGACAACTTTCCTTTTGTCTTTCTGTGACTCTAACCTGGTAAACCAGTTCTTCTGTGAGGACATCCCGCTCATGGCTCTGGCTTGTTCCAGTACTCAAGAAAAAGAACTGATGCTGCTGAGCATGGCGGGGTTCAATGTGTGCTGCTCACTCCTCATCGTTCTCGTCTCGTATGCCTTCATCGTGTCTGCCATTCTGAAGAAGCACTCTGGGGAAGGACGGAGGAAAGTCTTCTCCACCTGTGCATCTCACTTGTCTTCCATTGTCATATATTATGGGACTATCATCTTCATGTATTTACAACCCGAGTCTAGTCATTCACTGAATACAGACAAATTTGCTGCTGTTTTCTATGTGGTGGTGATCCCCATGCTCAATCCATTAATCTACAGCTTAAGGAATCAGGAGGTGAAAAATGCGCTTAGAAAAGGGATGGATAAGATCCCATTGAATGTAAACAAATGAGCCAGGCTGCCAGGGAAAGGAGGAAAGAATGCAAAACAGAGTCAATGCATCTGGACTTGCCTGAGATCACAATGGTAATATTCACTAGGAGCATACAGAGATAAATTCCATGCCCTTGGGCTCAGTTTTATGATTTCTCTCTACTACAGACTCCTTGAGTCAATTAACTTGAGTCCATTAACTTGATCTCAGTAGTATGTATACAATATAATTTCACCACTCCTTGAGCATTTTTTCTTTTTAATTTTTGAGGATTTACTGTATGAGTCTGGTATATTTATATCATTTCTCCCAGACCTTCTCACCCTTTTAGCTCCTCCGGGGTAGTACTCAGGACTCTTGAGTTTTGTTTTGTTCACTTGAAGATTTTTAAAATAATAATTAGTAATGAGAATAATAACAATTTGAAATAATGACTTTTCCAAGTTGATTTGAGACTGCAAACTTCAGAAAGCTTGAATAACATAACCTGGGGAATAAATGACACAAAGAGGACATCAATTTTCACACACAGAGGATCTGAGGAATTAGAGCAAGTCATTCATCAATGTCTCTTTGTTCTTAATTTCTGTCAACAATTTGTTGACTAATTCTAAAGACTCTTGTGTCTTAGTTTTTCCCCTTTCTTTCAGAAGGTCTTGATAGCTAAAACATAGCCAAATTGTGGCTCAACTGTTTTTGTGACATGTTTTGCTTCATTTCAGACTACAAGATTAACTTAATACCTTTTGTACCATTCTGCTTATTTTATGATTCTGTGTAATGAATTTGATGTTTTACAAAGTGACTTTCAAATCTATCCTACATTGATGTTGTCATGTTCTGACTGAGTGTCAAAATAGTAGGTTTATTAAATAATGTGAAACTATCTTTAAAAAGGAAATGATTTATTTTATAACTACAATTAGGAATTTAATAAACACCAAAACTCTAAAAAATTAATGTAAAGATACTTTCACATCTGATAATTAATAGTTATATCCACTGTGACTATCTCTATATCTTATAACACTTAAAATGAAAAATAATCAGTGTATCTTTATGGAGATGAGATTTAAAGGTGCTTTTATTCAAAGGTAATATTCTCAATGGTGAGTGAGCTTGTTCAAACTTTCATAAATAACAAAAATGTAACTCTATCAATTGCTTAATATGTCTCAGTGATTTCTTAAAAATATATTGAAATCTGTCTCATATAATTTTATAATAATTTAGTGATGGGTATGAAAGATTCCATTGTGGAAACTAAAGACACCAAGAAAACAAAGATAGTTTACACATAGATGGATGTCACATGAATGCTTATGAAAATCAGTTAATCAAGTCTAATTTGATCCTGGAACTTGATATCAAAATGCATTTATTTACTTCCAAGTATTGACAAAATGCCTGGACTATGGTTTAAAATGGAATGATTTATCAATATCCTTAAAGAATCAATGAAACTTTTAAACAATTTTCATAGTGTCACAGATTTCTACAAGGTAGAGTAGGGGGAGCCTCACTGTGGCACATAGAATTGCATTCATCCGTATGGCTTAGCACATGTATATGTGTGCACACACATACACACACACACACACACACACACACACACGCATGCGTCGCATGTGCAGGCACAAGTACATGCTCACACACCACAGTGCCTAACACACTGCAAGTAAACATTCCCCAAGGTCATCCCTAGAGCCTTTTTATTGGACTGATGAGTTCATGTATCTCAGACTCCCCCCCTTCCAGAACATGCCATGGTCACTTTAATCAAATGCAGCAAAACTTCCAAAGCAACAATGCAATCTTGAGAATTTCAGCTTAGAATTTTTTTTATTGGACAAGTTTCTACGAGGAATATAAACACTCTGTGACACATTTTTCTTTTTTTAAATATTTTATGATTTTTAAAAATTTTATGTGTATATTAGCTTCATTCTTAAAGTACTTCATTCTTATAAGTATACCCATATCATGCAGTGCCCATGGAGGTCAGAGGAGGGCGTCGGATTCCCCTGAAACGGAAGTTATGGACAGGTGATAGCCACCATGTAGGTGCTGGAAATCAAACCCATGTCCTCTGCAAGCGTGCTCTGCAAGAGAAACCAGTGCTCTTAACCACTGAGCCATCTCTCCAGCCCTGAGATACATTTTTCTAATCCATAAAATGAAAACTTTCAAGTATCTTATAGCCTGTAAGGATAACTCTGCCCTTCTGATTATGTGAGTTTGAGCTTTAGCCTAGCAATCAAAGAGACAGGAAAGGTGGTGTTCTTCCCACTCTCAGGAGTCTGCTGTACTTTCTCCTAATAAATCTATGTTCTCTCTGCTAAACACACACACACACACACACACACACACACACACACACACAAAATCACAAAGAGACATTTAAATCTAAGTGGATGATGGTTTTAGAGATGTAACCTAACAGGATAATAAAGAGGAGAAGTTTGAATGAGACAGCCAAGGGAAAGCAAATGTCAGGCTTAAGACTACAGGATAAACGGGCATAGACACAAGATTGAAATTCCAAGGGAGTATCACTAAAGAAGGTATATGGAAACATCAATCTTAAAAGCATAGCCTGCCTAGTGGCACAGCATTCTCCAAGAACAGAATTGGCATCATTATCTATCGCTCCACCGTTCAATCTGCACTTGCTTCATCCTCAGTCCACGTTTTGGTAAATCTTCTGTTAGGTTTGATTTGCCTGGTGTAATAATGTTGACCTTCATACAGTCTGACACTTTGTTACCTTGCCTGGCTCCTTTTATCTTTGTTCCAGTTGTCAATGAATAGTTTCCAGTGAGCATTAAAATAATATGACATGCCACAGCGTAGCCTCTGATAGCTCGTTGCATACATTCCTGTTTACATTCTGTGATTGAAACATTAATTCTAGATGTGATTGTGTTGATGATCCAACCATTAAAATAATTCTTTTCTGTCATTTCATTCACTAGCAAAAATAATAAAAGCTTCCCAGGTGATAGACATGACCTTCACTTGGTAAAACATCTGTGTCTCCAGAAAAGTGCTTTACTTCGGAAACTAAATCTATAACCTGGCAGAAATTGGGACTGTACATGCAAAAGGCAGTCTTCTTAATTGAGTCATTAGTGTGAAGGATGGAGGCATCACTCTTTTCTGTATTAGCCAATGAATATGTTTTCTATTGACACAAAAATAATAATTCTAAAAAAGTTCAAATTTTAGAGGGTTGAACAGATATAGTTTAGCATTTACCATGAATCAGGGCTAGGCTCAAAACAATGACCTGATTCTACCTATGAATTAACAATTTGCTAATGTTTTTCCTGGGAATAAGCTGATTTAAGATCATTCTGCCTGGGAAATAGGTTCAACACCTTGTGATCTTTCACTGACCAACAGGATAGCATGAGTCTGTGCTTCTGGGGAAAGCAGAACAAAGCAGGAAGTTGAAACATATGAGAATTATTTTTCTTTCTGACACAAGATCTTGGGTAGTCTAGGCTGGTTTCAAACACATTATATAGCAGAACATGATTTTGAATTTCTGATCCTCCTTCCAATACTTCTAAATGTAGGAACTAAAGATGTACACCATCTTAATTGGCCTTACCTTGTGTTGGGAGGTTAACCCAGGCCGGTATGTAGGCAAGCAGTGTAGCAGTTGAGCTACATGCCTAGATCACATTATCATAGTTTCAAGTTTCCCTTTTGTGTCAAGTTTGCTATTAAGACACTACCTAAAAGAAGTAACTTGGCTGGTTCCAGACACAGACTTCCAAAATATAAGATATAAAGTAAGATTGGACACAGAGCCTTAATTAGGGACATTAACTCAATCAACTTGCTATAGTTGCCTAGACTATCATCCCAATTGGGGAACATTGGGTCCTCATAACCTCATATACTTATATTCAAAAGTTGTGCATTTTCTAAGAAAAGCTCCGAGATGTCCCAAATTTATTTACTAACTCCAAAAAGTGATGAATAGATTCATCGTGAGCACATAATTAATTACACTGCTTTAACAATAAAATTATCTTTAAAAATGAATTGGGAAAGTATATATTTTATTTTGGAAAAGGAAGTAAATTTTAAACCAAGCATGGTTAGAGATGCTTGTAAACCCAGCCTTTGTGATGCTGAAGAAAAGGAGACAGCCACCACAGGTTGTACATTGTGAAACTTTTTCTCCATGAGACAGTGAATATACAAAATGAAGTATTGCTTTTAAAACTCTTTTTATAACGAATCATTTAGAGATTGTCAGAGACCCATCCAACTTACTTAGAAATAATATATGCAGTGACCACTTATAAATTTTTCAACTTTAATGAGATCAATTCTAACATATAAAACACATAAAACTGGGTAAATATATCGTGAATTCTTTCCATATACTAAAACGATGTTTGCTTTCTTTTATTCATTTTCCTGATACTTAGGATCAGCGGAGTGATCTGTCAATCAAATGGTTTTTTTTTTTTTTTTTTACCTATTAAGTGTATTGTATCCCAAAAGATTAACCTCAGCATAATTGCTTCATTTGTGAAGCATCATTATATTTCTGGTTCATAAATTATTTAAAATGATGTAATTTAAGTAAAATATTCAAGAGGGAGTAAGAAGTCATACAAAACAAACTCAAATGCTAAATCAATGCTAAATATTTTTGGCTTCTACACAGTCGCCTCGAGGTATATTGGACTTTGTTGGGATTTACTGTGAATTATGCAAAAGCAGTATGTGTTGGAGATGGATAATAAGTAATTGAGTGTGTAAAAGATTGGAGCAATGAAAACACATCCGTTTGCTCAAGAGTTCTAGGCGCATAGCTTATGCTTCTAGTAATTGCTGGGTTTTGCTAGATTTATACTCAACTGTATTGCAAATGCTGAGATTTATTTGTAAAGAAAGGCTTACTAATGAAAACTTTAACAAGTCATTTTAGCAAATTTTGACTGTATCCTAAGTTTCATATGAAACAATAAGCCTAGTAAGATTCACATTGAAAATATACTCTAGGCCCCAGAGAGAGAGAGAGAGAGAGAGAGAGAGAGAGAGAGAGAGAGACCTAGATTAACAGAACAACAGTAATGCAAAACTGTGATTATTGGGACTTAAGTAAATATGAAGATGTTAGACATATTTATGTTTGGAAAAATAGATTAAATGATTCGTGGTTTTGAACAATTATTCTTGCTGGAATTAGGATATGTGAAATATGTCCTTGTAACTCACTCAAGAGGTTGAATATATAGCACCACTCACTGGATTAAAACACACGTACTCCTAAACAAGTGAGTGGGGAGGGGTGGTTTTAATTGATAACTTCTCTTTGACTCTATGGCAATTACATGCTCCCAGAATATTTCATTAAATTTGACTGTGAGATAATTTGATATGTGTGTCCAGTTTAGTGGCAGAACTTGGCTTAGAGATCTAGACAGCTGCATTGTCTACAAACTGCCAACATGCATGTGCTTCAATAACATAAACTGTTGTAAGTACAATAGTATAATCTATAATCATATTCATTGATGTGTAAGCAAAGGAATGAGTGCTATCAAGGAGAGCAAAATAGAATGGGAGATGGGAAACCCAAGAGATACTGGTGAGTTAGAAACCAGAAGATGGTAACTTCCCTTATGAAAGTTGATAACACTTTGGTGCTTCAGTGAAGTCAAATGAGAAAGCTTCATTAGATTTGGCATACAGGCAAAAGTTGTTGAACGTAGAATAAATACACTGCAATGCTGATAAGTATCAGTGCCTAATACATTGACAAATAAAGGCAAAGGATGAAGTGAGCTCCTGGAGTCCCTTCGGAATGTCTGCTACTTGGGGAAAACAGAGGATCAGTGGTAATGGGCAAAGACAGAGGAGGGGGACCCATAGATTAATGGAAGCATTTTACGTAACTGTTTCTAGGTTGATGAGAATAACTGAAAAAGTCAGTATGTGAAGAAGGCATGAATCACAAAGACCTATGGAAACAAAGTATACCTTTAAGTATTAAAAATAGGACACTACTCCTGTTCTCTTTCCACAAAGGAAAGAACTGAGGTGGAAGGAAGTATATTGTGTAACTCACAACTAGAAGATGAAATGTTTGTCACTTTCCAGTGCCAGAAATGCCAAGTTCTAACCTCTCTTAAAAAAAAAAAAGAAAAGAAAAGAAAAGAAAAGAAATGTAATACGCTTGGATAATAATTTTAATTTTTATTTAATTCACAAATATTGCATATGAACTGAAAAAAGTCAGGAATTGTAGATTCATAAAAGAACAAAACAAAAAAAATAAAGCTATGTACAGAGATAATGAGTATCACAAATGTTACTAGAATTTTTCATATTCGCTCTCCTAAAGTCAATTTTAGAAATATTCTAGCACAGATGGTTAAAGCTTTATGAAATTAGAATAATGTTCTTTAAATCGTTCCAATGAAGCAATACGTTAAAATAATATCTTTATTTACAAATCCCCACAGAATCGTTTACTTTTGTAAATTTATCTGTGACATGTCATATCATTCAGATAGTTGAAGCACGTGAAGATTCCTAGAAGATCTGAAAATCAGGACTGTCTTCTGACTTCAGGTTGACAATCAACTCTAGCTCATGTGTTCTCATGGCTAACAGCAGTCACTCAGCAGTGTCTGAATTCATCCTCATGGGACTCACAGACGATCCAGAGCTTCAGGTCATCCTCTTTGGTGTATTCCTAGTTATCTACTTAATTAGTGTTGTGGGTAATATTGGACTGATAGTATTAATTCAAGTCAGTCCTCAGCTTCACACACCCATGTACTTCTTTCTCACTCACCTGGCTTTTATTGATTTTTGTTTTACGTCCTCTGTCACTCCAAACACCCTGCTAAATTTTCTACGTGATGTTAAAAGTATAACCTTTTACGCATGTGCCACTCAGTTGTGTTGCTTTATCACATTTGTAGTGTGTGAATTATACCTCTTGTCAATCATGGCATATGATCGGTACATGGCCATCTGGAACCCTCTGCTCTATGCCAGCCTCATGCCCAGGAAGCTCTGTCACCAGATGGTCGCCAGCACATACATCTATGGATTCTCCGTGGGCATTGCACAGGCAGTCGCCACTTTCCACTTGTCTTTCTGTGGCTCCAGTGTGATCAACCACTTCTACTGTGACGATGTGCCCTTAGTGGCTCTGGCCTGTTCTGACACTCATGTCAAAGAGCTGATGTTATTAGTCATCGCTAGCTTCAACACCCTTTGCTCTCTGGCGATCGTGGTAATTTCCTATGTCTTTGTCCTCTTTGCCATCTTGAGGATTAATTCTGCTGAAGGAAGACGGAAAACCTTTTCTACCTGTGCATCGCACCTGACCTGCATCTCAATATTTTATGGAACAGTTAGTTTTATGTACCTGCAACCCAAATCCAGTCATTCTCTGAACACAGATAAGTTTGCTTCTGTGTTTTATGTGGTAGTGATTCCCATGTTAAACCCACTGATCTATAGCTTGAGAAATCTCGAGGTAAAAAATGCCCTGAAGAGAATTACAGAAAAGTTGTCTTTGGCCATTAAGTAATCTAGGAAGCATACTGGTCACAAGACTTGGAATTGTTTTATTTGGAGTGACAATACTGGTAACTGACAGCCCTCTCCTTCCTTATGAGCACTCAGACTGATCTAAGGCTTGTCTCATTTCTCCTCTGTCATTGTCAGAGATGCTCATATGGAAGGCATTTTGGAAAACGGAGTAAAAGATAGAAAAGAGAAATAAAGAAAATGATGTATCGATCTTATTTAGTATGGTACCATCAATAGTACTCTAAGAAACACTACTTCGAAGTTGAAGATTTATTGAGGCTCTGTGATGCTGAGCATGGGTTCTTTTGGATGAGATCAATAATAGTTTTCCTATATCTCAAATTTGTTACACAATAATCTGTAAAAAAAAAAGGTTTAAGAACAAGAATGTGTTTCCTGGTGTATTAAGATAGTATTTCTCACGCTCTCCACTTTCTCTTTCTCTTTCTTCTTCTGGGGAGGACAGCGCTACCTGAATTACCTTAACTTTCAATATTTAATGTTCAACATTGTACCAGACTGGACCACTGAAGGCCTTCATCCCTTTATGATTCATCACCTCTCTACCTAGGGATATGATTATGAACTTTAAATAATTTGCCTAGCTTTTTCAGTAAATAGCTGTTCTTAGCGCATGTAAATCATTTCACATGTCTCTACCATTTCCTCCATTGAAAAGAATAGTCACTGCTCTTGGGCGGGTTGGATGGTCATGAATATTGATGAATTTTCTTCTCTGTGGTGCTAGGATTTGAAACCTGAACTTTTTGTAAGTACTCTACCATTCAGCCATACTCCCAAGTCCATGAGTGTTAAAGACAATTGTGAAGGCAAAGTCATCAATTGCCCCTTCCAGCACATAGTGGGCACAACACACATGGTGGGTATTATCATTATATAACACATTAGCACATCAAGGATGTTTTTATTTGGTTTTCTGTCATTATATAATAGTCTTTTTCTAATAAATGTTTTTTATTAATATTTTATTTATTATTTTTATTTTTGTGTATGAGTATATTGCCTGCATGTATGTGAGTGCACCCATGTCATGCAATGCTGCAGAGGTTAGAAGAGGGCTTTGGATTCCCCTGGAACTGGAGTTAAGGATGGTTCATAGCTTCCATGTGGGTGCTGGGAATCGAACCTGGGTCCTCTGCAAGAGAAGTCAGTGCTCTTAACCACTGAGCAATCTTGCCAGCCCCATGAAAGTGGACTTTTGTGAAATATTTGGCAATATAATTTTTTTTGAGTCAGGGTCTCCCTGTAACTCCAGCTGGCCTGAAACTCTCTATGTAGGCCAGGCTGGCCTCAGTCTCACAGAAATCCCCCTGCATCTGCTTCTGTTTCCCTAGTGTTGGGATTAAAATTGAGCCACCACACTTGATTGATGTTTTAACTTTCAAATGAACAAAACTAAAGTAAAAATCCTCAGGTATTATTTCATTATGGTCTCATAAGGAATTTAATTCTTTGTGTGTTTTATGAAAATACTTTTTAAGTATTTTTTTTGCTTTCCCTTATATCACTCATTTAAAGCCTATGTACATTTCTTGAAAAAACAAGATTTGAAAGTTTCAAATTTTTAGTAAAGAGTAACTTAATCGTATGAATGCATTTATTTTAAAACTATAATTTATCAGAGCTTTTCTTGCATCAAGAAAGGTGAATTTCTTGAATTAGAGTATTTTCATTATTCCTCACACTATATCACTGTATAGACATTTAAAGAATGAGAATATGTGAAGCAATGTATGAAGTGCAGTAAAACAAATACAGGCAGCAATCAAAGAAACCAGGATCTGAATTCAATTTTGAGCAACCATAAAGCTTTCATTTAAATTTTTTCTCTCAAGTTTCCAGTTGGTTATGCAATGTTAGGATTTTTTCTGACACTTTTTGGTAAGAGATGAATCATTCTAAAACTGATCTTTTTGAGATGGAGGCCAGTCTGATCTACACAGCAAATTCCAGGACCAATATGGCTACCAGGGAGACCCTGTCTCAAAAAAAATCTAGTCTTACTTCATGTTCAAGCAGTGTTCTAGAAAGTCTAGTGCTTTCATTTTTTCTGGTAGAACCAGTTCTCACTACTACGGAGAATGAGACTTAAAAAATACCATTGTAGTACCACATTTCCTGAAATAGCCAACTAATAATTACAAATGTTCATGAAAATATTTTGTAGTTCTAATGAGAATCATATGAATTCTAATTGCCTGCATCCCTGCCCATCTTGTGTAGTAGAAACTACATCGTCATGCTCTTTGGGTTGGTCCAGTCATCAATGAATCCTCCTTTTTAGCTTTGAATCCCTGCAAAGAAGCACAATGTGTGCTGCTGACAGCCTGTCCTCTTGTAATGTGTATTTCCTAGGAGACAGATCCTCTCAGAAGGTCAAGTACAAATTCAAAGAGCCTGAGGCTATAGAGCCAGAGAGCACAGATTCCTCCCATACTGGAGAGAGGGCTTACTTCTACAAGCCTTGGTCCAGGGCCTTCTAGTCTAGTTCTTAGGGATGCGGCACCAATTTGCCAGGCATAGATTCAACGTAGAATTGTATCTCCGAGTACAACTTCCAACCTAATGAATTTGACACCCTGCAAATTTAGTATCCCTAGTGAACACTCATAAAGCTATTCTCATTTGTGTTTTTAGCCTATTTTTGTGTAATAGCAGATGACAAGTAATTTAGAGATATGTATGTCTATTGTTATAATTTCTGTTCCTAGGAAAGATACTTTTTCCCCTAAAGCAACACCAATGGGCACGATGTCCATAGGGTCATCTGCAGGACCTCAGGCTGGCAAAGTCAGAGGAAGTAGGGAAAACTAATCCTTATCAGGAGGTGTGTTGATTACCCTCGGAAACAAATTAATTCTATGATTAACATAGACAAACTTAATTAGATCTGAATGCCACCAGGTTATAAGCTGCCCTCAGCATATTATGATGCCACAGATAGGGCTCAGGAATGAGCTTCACTGTGGACAAGTGAACCCTAAACAGTCATAAAGCTGGCTCAGAATTAATCAGAAATTCCTTTTGGGGGTGGGTTCTGTGTCTTTATGGGTACATTTTTGTGGAATAATGTCTTAGCAGTGGAGCCATAACTTCAAGTTTGGGGAGGTAATCAAAGTCTTTGGAAATAGCCTGTGTCATTTGGGGATTTCTTGTACACTAACCTGATCAACAACTCCAAGGGACGTTTTTCCATCTGGCTCTGTGGTTCTTGTTATATAGCCATCAGCTATACACATGCACTCATGTACAGAGAGTGTGTGTATAATTTTTCAGTAGGTTTTTTATCTGAAACATTTCCCTCTGGTTTTCTTCACATCAGATAAGCAATATTTATCTCTCATCTCTCTGCCTGCCTAAAGCTCCCTCCTATCTCCCCAAAGTACCTTTTTCTCAATTTCCTCTTTGATAATATGTCTCCTATCCCCACCCCCACCCCCCAAGCTCCTTTTTCCCCTTTACCCCATGGTTCCTTGTTTATCCTTTTCTCCTCCCTTTACAGTTACTTACACCCATTTCCCCCATATTCTCTTTGGTAACATCTGTCTCCTACTATCCCCCCTCTCTTGTCTTTCTCTTACAAACAAGTATACTAGTCACAACTCATGAAAGAAGTTTATTTTTTTTTAACAGCAGATAAAGGCTATTACAGAGTTTCACACAAAGAACTGGTCACACAAAGTAAATAAGTGTCAATGGGGTTCCCAGCTCTAAGTTACACATCTACAATGGAATCACTACACCTAAGGCTTATGAAACATAATGGAGCATGGGTTAAAGAGAATACTAACGCATCACTGAACTCTAATCAGTGAGTTTTCCTCATGCAGCAGAGGGCAATGAATACAGAAGGCCACAACTGACCAAAGCATAGAAAATAAGAGACTTCAGAGTGACTGTCCCTAGATAGAAGTCCTACAATAAGCCTCACCCACCCAGGGCAGAGGGTCCTTGTGGAAGAGGGGTGGAAAGACTTTAAGATTCAGGAGTGGTGTAGGATCATAAGGAAAGAGAGTCTTCCAGGCTTCCTGAAACTTGCTCAGTGGAACTGACAGCAATGACAAAAGCATGCACAAGACCATTGCAAGCTCAATCAGACAATAACCAGCATAGAGTTGAAGGAATGAGCAGGAGGCCCCAACCTTAGCTGAGGCAATATTGGTGGCTTATCACTGTTAGGGGAGGAAGAGTTGATCTTCTTTAATGGCCTGAAGCTAGATAGGTTGAACAGGCTACACTGACTGAACGCACACTGAGGGACATCTGGGTATACAAACTTGACTTGCTGGACCTTGACATATACAGCAGAATGCATGAAATACTATGGGTGGTCAATAGAGGTTACAGATAAGAAATGGTGTCTAAATAGGCTTAAGATGTACACAAAAACTTCAATAAAAATGTACATTAAAATATCAAATTTTAAACAGAGTTGAAAATAAAGAAGTATTTCCCAACATCCTGCAGATGTCAGCAACTGCCTTTAGAGTAGATTTGTTTTTTCAATAGATAAGGTGAGCTTGCTCTGGATGTCCTACACGCATTAGATCTGAAATTAAATTATCTTTCCCTCTAATAATCAGATATCTAATAAAATGATTTGAGGCTTGTTTGCACAGTTAGACAATGCTTATTCTGAAACAAAATTAAGAATATCAGGGGGAAAAATTCACAGACCACCTTCTTCCCCTGCAGACTATAAAGAAGTCATAATTAGATTAAAAGAAATGAAGGAACAGTATGGACTAATGTAAGTGGGAATAGTTACACCTTTCTGGGATTTGTCCTTCATTTTCCTGGAATTCTAAGACAAAAAGTTTCTTTCTAAAACATTACTTAAAAGAACTAATAAACTCGATATCAGAGACAGAGTGCTAGGTCGCTACAAAGCTACTGCAAAACAGTCACAGAGAGACCTTTAATTGGTTCCATTAATGCAACCAATTTGCTGTTTCCAACAACTGTTCTAGAATATTCAAAATAAGGAT